ATGAAGGGTGGCAGAGTTTAGTAATTTTTTTACAATAATTTTTGCTTCACAGGAGCTCTGGTAGCGTAATGGTTATGATTCGGGCTGCGAACCTTAAGGTCAGCGGTTCGAAACTACCAGCTGCTCCGTGGGAGAAAGATCAGGCTTTCTACTCCCGTAAAGATTTACACCCTCGGAAACTCTGTACAGGGTCACTATGGGTCGGAACCAACTCGACGGCACTTAACAACAACAACCATTTTTGTTTCAGATCTTGTGTACAAGATCACAGTAACCAATGGATACCAGAACTACTTTTTATTATTTACCTACCATCAGATAAAGCTTACGTATATATACTGCAGACTTAAGTCATTCTGGGCTGTCAATTCTGAGTAGCCCATCTTTCCTTTCCACTCATATAATCCTACATGCAATGACCTATATATGCATACTTGCTTACCCCGTCTACATGGGGTATCTGCGAATATAGACAGAGGGCCACAGGATTCTCTACTTTCACTGCAGCTTTTTGTTTAGCCAAAAGGAGCCCTGGTGGCATTGTGGGTTAGGAGTTGGGCTACTAACTACAGGGTTGACAGTTCAAATCCACTAGGTGCTCCACAGGAGAAAAATGAGGCTGTCTGTTCTCATATGGCAATAGGTTTAGTCATGTGTTGTTATTTTTTTCCCCATCCATAGGAATAAATCTATAGGCGTGAAAGTCATCTATTTGAGTGGCCTATGGCCTGTGGCTCATCCACAGTTCTGTAATGCTGGACGTCTTTTGTTCTCTGCATTTCCCCACAATGAAATGGCCCATAAAAATACAAATAAATTACAGGGACCCTAATAAACAGTACGCAGTGTCCTTATATAAATAATGCCAAGTAACATTCTTGTCCTCAATAGTTCACTGTATACTGAGCCCTCAATGGACATTTTACTCAAGAAATGTCCCTATACCCCTCGAAAAAAACCCCAATACCAACATATCTCAGTGAAGTCAATTCTGACTCATAGTGAGTGACATTATAGAGTTTTCTCCACAGTAGAAGTGCTCCACAGGCTGCAATCTTTACAAAAGCAGACTGCCACACCATGCTTTCAGTTACAGCCAAGCGTTTAGCCACTGAACCTCCAGGGCTTCTAAAAGG